CCAGGAAAAATCTGGGAAAATCCTGGGAAAATCCTGGAAAAATCCCAGGAAACATGGGGGAAAATCCTGGAAAAATCCTGGAAAATCCCAGGAAAAATCTGGGAAAATCCTGGGAAAATCCTGGAAAAATCCCAGGAAACATGGGGGAAAATCCTGGAAAAATCCTGGAAAATCCCAGGAAAAATCTGGGAAAATCCTGGGAAAATCCTGGAAAAATCCCAGGAAACATGGGGGAAAATCCTGGAAAAATCCTGGAAAATCCCAGGAAAAATCTGGGAAAATCCTGGGAAAATCCTGGAAAAATCCCAGGAAACATGGGGGAAAATCCTGGAAAAATCCTGGAAAATCCCAGGAAAAATCTGGGAAAATCCTGGGAAAAATCCTGGGAAAGTCACGGGAAAATCCTGGAAAATCCCAGGAAAATCTCGGGGAATCCTGGGAAATCCCAGGGAAAATTACGGAAACGCTGGGAATTGTTGGGAATTCCAGGGATTTCTGGGAATTCCGGGAATTGTCAGGAATTGTTGAGAACGCTGGGATTTGACGAGAATTGTCGGGAATTCCTGGGAAATTTTTTGGGAAGCGTCGGGAATTCCAGGAATTTCGGGAATGTCGGGGAATTCCTGGGAATTCTTTGGAGCGCTGGGGATTGTTGGGAATTTCCGGGGCTTTGTAGGGAATCACTGGGAATTCTTGGGAATTGTCGGGAATTCCGGGAATTTTTTGGGAATGTCGTTGCAGAACGGATTCGATTATCTGCTGACGTACAGCGACAACCCCCAGACCGTCTTCCCCCGCTACTGCCTGAGCTGGATGGTGTCCAGCGGTGAGAATTCCCAAAAAAAAAACCGGGAATGCCGGAATTCCGGGGGCTGCCGGGAGCGCTGGGAATTCGGGGGTTTGGGGGATTTTTTGGGGAATTTTTTGGGGTTTTTTAGGGGTTTTTTTGGGAATTTTTTCGGGGTTTTTTGGGATTTTTTGGGATTTTTTAGGGTTTTTTTGGGATTTTTTTGGGATTTTTTTGGGGAATTTTTTGGGATTTTTTAGGGTTTTTTTGGGAATTTTTGGGAATTTTTTGGGATTTTTGGGGGGATTTTTTTGGGATTTTTTTGGGATATTTTGGGGGATTTTTAAGGGGATTTTTTAGGGGGTTTTTTGGGATTTTTTAGGGTTTTTTTGGGAATTTTTTGGGATTTTTTCGGGGTTTTTTAGGGGATTTTTTGGGATTTTTTGGGGATTTTTTGGGAATTTTTGGGAATTTTTTGGGATTTTTGGGGGGATTTTTTTGGGATATTTTGGGGGATTTTTT